AGAGAGAATCCCAAGCAGGTTCCATACTGCCAGCACAGAGCCTGTTGCAGAGCTCAAACCCACAAAGCCATGGGATCATGACCTGAGCCAAAATCAAGAGTCATATGCTTAACCGACTGAGCCATCCAGGCGCCCCTGTGCTCATCTTTTAAAAGCGATTAGCTAAATAAGTTAATACATGAGGCTGACTCTCTTTTTTTTTTTTTTTCTCCATTACTTAGTTTTACAGAGGCTTGGAGTGGTGGTTTTGAGGTTCTCTAGATCATGAGCTGGGGGCTTCCCTGAAGAAGGGACAGCACTGGTACCTTCTGCTATGACACTGGAGGCTCAGTAAAAAGAGATTGTTGCCCATGATCCAGCTGGAAGGGCCAGGGCAAAAGATTCTGCTCTGGCCTGATTTTTCTTCCCAAGCTACCTCCCATTGCAGCATTTTCCTTACTCTTAGATGAAGCAATGGTTAATGTGACATTTGTAACCCAAGTCCTAAAAGGGGAAATGACAAGTTCCAGAATGTTTTGAAGCTCCCACCACCTCCAATGATATAGTTAGCCTATAGGGAAAATCCAGCTACACTTGCTTAAGTGTCCTGGTTGTTGTGATGGTGCTGCCCTCTGCTGTCACCTCAGGGTAGAGGAACCATTTAAAACACAGCCGTTTAGTGAATGAATTGAGAATTTACTTATCTGGAAGACTTTGGAGCGCTGTGCAGAGGCCCAGTTAGGGAAAGAAGACTTTCACCCCAAGCCCGTTGCCCAGGGCCTGACATCAGTCCCTGCCTAGCTTCTTATGCTCCTCAAGTGCTACTGAAAGCAGAAATTTGCTTGGGGAAACTATTACACAGCCCTAAAAAGGGACCTGGGAATGTCTCAGGATTGGTAAATCTCACCCACCTCAGAGTCCTGTCCTTAGAACTGTGGAAAACCATTTCTTCCTTTTATTAGGCCCCAAGTTTCAGCTAAGAGAGCTTTTTTCCCTTGACCTCAATTATGCCCTGGCTGAAGTTCACTCGCATATATCCCTTTGCTCCCGTCGTTGGGTCAGCTCCTGGTTGCTCAGTAGGTAGTCATCAATGAATGTGAAGATTTCCTCGGGGGTGACAGGTTCCATGTAGCGTTCCCGGTCAATTCCCTGCTTGTCAATCAACACCATGTTGAAGTAGGAGGGAGTGAGGCGCTGAAATTGCCTAGAGAGAGGAGCCCAGGAGGTGTGAGACCTTGTCTGGGCTTCATTGCACCAGGTTCTACTACCTTCTGACCTTTCACAGCTCTGCCTATGGACTAATTCCTTCCCTCCCTTGTCCTCATCCCCTCTACTACCTATCTCAAGCCTCTTTCTTTTTCTCTGCCCAGACCCTACTCTTGCTGTCCCTATGCATCTAACTCTGCTAAGCCATGTCTTCTTCCCCTCAGATGGAGCAACTTTATTGATAGCAGGCTAGGCTTCCCTCATAGGCCCCCTTCCTTAAGCAGGGTTATCACAGGTAGCTATGCAGGCTGCACAGAATACCTCCAGGGAGTACAAGTCATATGCACTATGATGTAACTAGTGTTTTCTAGAGTTAGGCTGGGCATAACGTGCACAAGCATATATGGCAGCCCTGAGGTTGATTAATATTATTACCTGGTCAACTCTTCTATCTGTACCTGCAAGTTTGCGGTCTCTTTCCTCTGCGTGTTTCCCAGTTTCTCCCCTACCTGGGATTGAATCTTTCTGTCCTCGCTGAGACTGAGCCCTAAAGGCAGGTATTGTTTATGAACAGAGAGCAATGATGACTTTATTGGCACTGAGTGTATGTGGAAGCATTGGAGGGGTGGTAATGGATAGATAATGAGAAAAGTCAACTTCTACCACCTGCCACCCACTCTTTGTCCAGGGGCAGAGGGGTATGATTCAGATTTTAGTGCCTACAGATGCCTTTTGTTCCTTTGTAGACTGAAGACATATGAGGCCATGAGGCAACAGAATCAGAGGCTTCTCTGAGTCATATTTGAGTCTGTATCTCAGTCCTGGCTGTGCTTCAGAGTCACCTGAGGTACCTAATAAAAGCATAGTCCTGAGGTGGTTTGGGGTGGAGCCTGGTGATCTGTCTTTTATGCTCTCCCTCCACCCATTTGATTTTGATGTTCTACCACTCTCTAGTTTTACCTAATGTATCCCAAGTGTTCAAACATAAGGCATGCCTCAAGATAGTGTCTGCTGATTTCCCCCCAACCCTCTTGTTGCCAGTGTCCTGCCTAGGGTTGCTGCCCACCCCTTCCCTGTGGCCTCCGAGCCTGGACCTGAGCTCCTCGATTATGTTGGCTGACAGCTGTTGCTCCCGGATGCGCCCCACCTCCTGAGGTGTCTGCCCCACCAGTTCAATGATGGTCACATGGCGCAGGTCCAGTCCACAGGTGGATTGCTGGGAGGGAAGAGAAGGTTTTATGGAATAGGCTCTCAGACTCAAACCTAAGGCTACTTAGCTGATTCCTCCTGGGACCAGGCAGTGTGGGAAAGGAAGGGCTTCTCCCCCAACCATCATACCATAGCATTTAACAACCTCTTTGATCTGTCATTCCTGAAGCATTTGCCCTAATAGTGTTTCTTTTATTCTAATGAAATGAACCAAACCTGTCACACCACGGGGAGTAGAAAAGTGAAATGTAATTGATAAATTGCAGGAACATAATCTCTCCTTGTTTGGTATTGCATTGGCTTTAAACTACATAGGTTCTTAACAGATGGCTATGGTGATATGATTATAATGGCTATCATTTATTGAACACACATACCTAATGCTTTGTAGGAATAAGTTGATCCTTACAACACCCCTAACAAGGTAGGTGGTATCATTCTTATTCTGTAGAGGAGAAAGTAATTTGCCCAAATTTGCATGACAATGAGATGCTGAGCCAAACTGAAGGCTGATGCTGCCTACCCTTGTACATGCTCCTTACCACTAGGCAACATGGCCATGGCCTTTCCCTCAGTCTCCAAGATTTCTCCAAAGTAGTGCCAGTGCTCTTTTCATTGCCCTTTGTTGCCTTCCTCACACCGGGCAGGACACCTTGTAACCCCACCCTGCCTCTTCGTCCTACTTTGTCCTGCAGGATCGCCTCTTAGCCAGTTATGGGGAGTGAGGTTTAAAACAACATTGAACACTCCCTGGTGCCTGACCCCTTATTTAATCTGTGGGCTAATCCTCTAGTCCTGACCCTCAGAATCACTGTCCTTACTGACTGTTCCTGTTCTTGCTTTCTGTTCAAGCCGAAGTATTGCCTTTGCTCCTCCCCCTAGCCCCCATTTTCTTTGGATTGCTGGAGGAACAAGGTCCTTTTTGATCTAGACACCTAGGGTCATCCTTTTGATAGAGCTGCTGCCATCATGGGCCTCTGAATATTGACTTAGCAACTTCTAAGATTTAACCTTTAGAAATCTTCCTAAATAGCATTTTCCCTTACCTGGCTATCCAGTCTCTTGCAGCATCTCAGAGCCATTTCTCTTAGTCCTGTCAGTGCACCCTGCATTCTCTTCAAGAACCTTTTTATAAGACCCAGTGGGTATATGTGTTGTGTCTTATCAACTCCCCCCTTTTCCACAAGTGGATTCAGCCAGATAACTCTTAGTATGTTAAAAATTGTCATGCAACTATCTCATTTTATTTTGTAATATCACAACACTTTTCCTTCTCTTTTGCTACTATAGTGGTGAAGAGCACAGATCCTGGAGTTAGACTGCCTGGTTTCAATCCCAGCATGACTACTTACTATCTAGTAATCGTGGGCAAATCCCTTAAACTCTCTACGCCTCACTTTCCTCACCTATGTAATGGGGATAGTAATCGTACTTACCTTATAAAGGTTGTTGTGAGAATTAAATGAATAGGTGTAAAGCATGTGCTTATATACCTAGTATTTAATAGCACTTACTATCTAAGTGTTAGTGCTATTACTCCTTGAAAACATAAACACAATTAATTCTCAACATTTACATTTGCTCACACCCGTCTCACCAGTCTCTCCAGAGTGCTTTGTCATGCTCCCTTGCCATCTTTCACCATGCCCCCTGCAAGTCACACCCACTATTCCTGTGCCCTCACTGCCTTTTCAGTAAAAACAGCACTTTTTAAAATGTGCTAAATTTGTCTACAGTAAAACTGATCAAATGTTCCCCACAAAAAGTTTGAGGAAGTGGGGTTTGTGCTGCAGAAAAAGCAACTCTTTGATTTGAAAGAGGTAAAGCAGTAATGGGGTGGGGTTAGGGGGTATGTAAAGGAACTAAGCCCTCATTAGGGGGTGGGTCTCACCTGCAGCATAGAGATCTGCATTTTATAATATCTGTTGGAGGGGTCAGGAGCTGAGATGATAAGGAGCCGCTGTTTCTCAAAGAACTGATCCAGAAGGCCAGCAGCTGAGTTGACATTGACATTAATCTTCATAGCTAGGGCAAAAGCAGATGGTCAGTCGGAGTATGGCTTTTTTGTTACTTGTAATGCAGATAACAACACTGTGAGTTTCAGTCTTTCAAGTTAACCCTTTTTGGGTGTTTCTGCCTTTCCTTGGGGGAAATCCTGAAAGAACATTTGGACAGTTTGAATCCTTCTTGGGTAAGAGTATTGTATGGGGGAACATTAGCCCTTAAAATAAACACAGGTCAGAAACCCCCATTCCCACATCATACAACTTGCAATTGGACCATTGTGGCATACATAAGGAAAGATACTGAAAAGTAGCCCTGATCAATATGTCCACTTTCCCCATCCCCTTGTTTCACTCACGAGCACAGATGGGTGGTGATCCTGACCACTGGCGGCTAGACTGGCAGACCCGGGAGGGGGTTCCTTGGCGTTCATAACCTCCATCACAGTGGTATTCACAGGTGGCACCATAGTTGTCCCCTGCTGAGGTGCAGGTGAGGTAGCCATGCTGTGGTGGTTTGAGAGTTGGGCAGCGTCTCACTGTCAGGGAGAATTTCAAATTAGGGGCTATGGTATCTCTTTTAGGGAAAACGTGTTAAGAGGGTGCCATGCTGTGTTTTCTAGACCAGGAGACCTAGGGTGATCAGAATGAATGCTTTCTCTGTGTTTGCAGTGGCCAAGAGTGGAGCCAGATTTTTCCTCTTAAGGAATTCAATCTGAAATGCAGACAAAGGTGTTCATAAAATCTGGAAGTGCAGGGAGTATACATATTGTCATAAAAAAAGCTATCAATCTGTAAAAAAAATATGTTTGTTTTCAGATGTTGTGGATACCCTGTGCAAAGATGACTACCTTACAAAATTAATTTTAATATCAAAAATAAATTGGAGAAGACTTAAATATCCATTAGTGGTAGAGTGTTAAGAAAATCAAAATATATTCTTAGAAGTAGATTTTTATGTTGTCATTCAAAATATTTCTGAAGAATTTTTAAAGAGTATGAGAAAATTACTTGTGTTGTAATAAAAATGAAAAAGAGCAATCTAAGATTGGATGTAAGTATGATGTCAACTATATATTTTTTTCAAAGTATATGTAGATAAAAGACTTGAAGGAAGATACCAAGAGATTAACAATGATTGCTTCTGGATGACTGGGAAATGGATTTTTTCCCTTTGTACATTTCTTTATTTCCAAAATGTTCAACAATGAGCATGAATTATCTTTATAATGGAAAAACCAAATCAACACAATACAACACAAAACAAAGAGGAAGAATCAGGCAGCCAACACTACCTATTTCAGCAGAAGTGAAAGACTGAGAATGAAAGCTGATTAGATTTGATAATTAGAAGACTAAGAAAAGAAACAAATTTTATACAGAGTATCTTCATGAATTTTATCTAGATTTAGAAGAGCGAGAAAGTCTTGCTGGGGAGTCAGGGTTTCTGAAATATGTATACACCTGTAATGCAGCTTCCTGAATGACCCTGTTTAAGTGAACTTGTTTTTTTCCCTTTTCCAATATAAAAGAGGCATCTGCTTCAGGCCTACAGAGGAGAGGGTTCTGGTGGGCATGTAAAGGGTCAGGATAGAGCAGGAATAACGAGCAATGTAGAAATGGAAGACTTCTTTCTGACCTTGTACTTTCACAATGAACTTGCAGCTGGCCCGATTATAGGCTCGATCGTAGGCAGTGTAACGAATCACATGCTCTCCTTCGGGAAAGTGAGAGCCAGGCTCAGGGCCCCGAACTGTCACCCTGCATGGTACAGAGTAAGAGAGCCAATGAGGAACAAGACTCTTAGAATTGGGGTTTGAGGCACATAATCACTGTGGCATCGACCCGTGCAGTTCAGTGTGGGCAGAGCCTGAGAAACTGCTGGGAGGCGTAAGGGGAATCCAATACTCACCTGGTGATAGTACCATCAGCAGAATCCTTCACCAATGGCGGGTCCCAATATACTCGGGCAGTCAGTTTCTCTGGCTCTGCCATCTTCTCACGTGAGTGGGGACAACGGATCTTGGGGGGATCTATGTCTGTCAAGGTCAGAAATCCAGTGCTGACTCATGGGCCCCGTACCTTCCCTTGAGGTAACCCATAGAAGCAGCACTACACTACTGGGTAGATAAAAGATGCGCACTCAGTTCAAGATACTCAATGAAACTGGGGGAGGAAGCCCAGCTCCAGAGGGAAGTGATGACTTTGTTAAGCTTATGACCAGGGTGCCACCCTCTTTGTGAGCAGGAATGTCTTCTGTGGTGAGAATTCCACATCCTTTGTGGATACAATGCTGGGGTGGTTCTTTGTAGCAGGACAACAGGGAGTGACCACCACTTACCTACACATACAGGCTCGCCTCCACTCCATCGCCCATCTTCCATGCAGATTCGGCTGTGGTCACCTTCCAGGTGGTAGCCACTGGAACAGCTGTAGTCACAGCGGGAGTCAAGAAGCACCCCGTTTGTGCAGGTGTAAGTGCCACTAGTGATGAATGGCAGTGCGTGGCATCTCACCTCTAAGAGAGAACCAAGTGGCAAGCTCAATGGCCTGTGGACTATCTGCAGGTGATGCCTCAGCATCTAGCACAGGAAGAACCATATCAGAGACATCAGAAAAAACAAACAGAAAACCCTACCCCAAACTGTCCTTATATTCTTGTGCCTAATTGCCTTTTAATTTTCATATTATAAAGCACAGCAGTGCCCTTGGAGGTGGGGGGAGTCTTAAAGAAGTAAATTACTTGTCCAAGTGCATGGACTTCAGAATCACACTCAAGTTTGGATCCCAGCTCCACTTCTTACTAGCTCTGTGACCTGAGCAAATTACTTCATCTCTCTGAGTCTCACTGTTTTCATCAGTAAAATGTGGATATTTCATAGGATTGTTGTGCAGATTAAAAGACATAATGCATATAAACCTCTGGACTCATTTAGGGCCTCAGCAGCTCCTTTCATATCTTGTTCCTAAAATCCTACATGCCCTTTAGCAAATTCAAAGCTTCCTTTCGAGTATAATTTTTGCGTTAACCACCTCACCCCTCAGCTGAGGCTCACTTTCATGTGGAAGCAGGCTTGTCTTATATCTGGGTGAGAATACAAGTCAGACCAGTGCCTGGACGTCCAGACTCGATGGTATTTGATTAAAGAGGCATCCATGGGCTTTAGACACCACAGGTGTTAGAAGTGGAGGCTGCTTCCATGAATTGATTGTGACCCTGATTGTGAGCTTGCCAAAGTCTGGTTTGAGATGCCTGATACTCAAGAGAAGTAGGCAAGTTATACTTTTGGCTATCTAAGTTCTAGCCTTGCATATGTTCAATTATTGGAGCTTTGAATAAAGATTCTATATAAACTATGTTCACTTGGCTTCTTGGCTAAACCAGACTTGAAGAGGAGTGCCTTTTATGTTTTCTAATATCCTTTATTTAAAGACCTATAAAAAAATGACTTCCTTGAAATCAGGGCCAAGAAAAAAGCGTTGTCTTTTCAGATGAATTTGTTTTCTTAGTATTACATGACTGAAAATGATCCAAGGTGTTTGCCCTTTTATCTCTTATGAGGAAGGACAAAGACAGATTCAGTATTCAAACATTGTAATTAACCCATTTTAAGTACCTGGAAATATGTATCTCTCCATTCTTTTAACTGATTTTATGTTCATTTACAGACATATTATTTTATTTTATTTTATTTTTGTTTAATTTTTAAAAAATGTTTATTTTTGAGAGACAGAGTACGAGCAGGGCAGGTGCAGAGAGAGAGAGAGAGAGAGAGAG